CAGAACTTCTAAATGAAGAGGAAATAAAACAGATTTCAGGAAAAAATACATACAATATAGCTACCTTTAAGCTCTAAAACTGGACCAAACCCTATTCTATCCTAGTCCTAATCCAAAAACTACCCCTAACTCTGTCCCAAATTGTTGTTGTTGTTATGTGCCGTGGAGTCGGTTCCGACTCATAATGACCCTGTACAGGGTTTCCGAGGCTGTAAATCTTTACGGGAGCAGAAAGCCTCATCTTTCTCCCGGGGAACAGCTGGTAGTTTTGAACTGTTGACCATGAAATTAACATCCCGATTCGTAACCACTATGCTACCAGAGCTCCTTTATCCCTTATCTATCCCTAACTAAAATCCTAAAATTCCTTGAAGTCAGAGGTCTAGCCTGTTGTTGTTGTTAAGTGTCACTGAGTCCTAGAAAGGTTTTCCATGGAGTGACTAGTGTATTTGAAATACTGACCTTGTGGTTAACAGTCTAGTGTTTATGCAACAATGCCACACTAGGACTCCAGGTCTAGCCTAAACCTATCTATACTGGTAACCCTAACTTTAATTCCTTATTCCACCTCACCCCCAACAAAAGAAGCCTTATAATTGTCAATTATCTCCCAAAAAGTATGTTTTACTTCTTGATTTTATTAATAGTGTTTCACTAAGCTACATAAAGCATCTGAATGAATAATAATGAGTAAGATATATCCTTGTTGTTGTTGTTGTTAAGTGCCATTGAGTTGGTTCTGACCCACAGAGACCCTGTAGAGGGTTTCCAAGGAGCAGCTTATATCCTTAGGAGCAAATAAATAGGTGGGCATGCATCTCAGTTCTGATGGACCAATTTACAAGATGTACCTATAGAAGCATCTTTCTATATGTAATGACAACTAAGTGGACGTAAAAAGGTATGAAGAAAAGACAAGTTGTTAACAAGTTCCAATTGTGCTGCTGTTATTGAACACATTGAGTAATCTTAAATGGGCATAATAACAATCTACTGCATACTGCAGTTGCACTCAGACACATTAGTAACTTGCTGTGGTATGTATACTGCTACTTTTGATGATCTTTGAACACCAATTCAACTCTCCAGTCCCATACATTTCAACAAATTCTTAAAATGGATGACCAGTAACAGCTTTGCCAGATTTAAAGAAAAATCCTGAGAAGATTTCAGATTCGAGAGCATCTGACATCAAATCCCAACTTCTCAATTCCAAAAAAAATCCAGGGTTTGGCATCCCATTTTATTCTTTTCTGGTTATTTTAATGCATGCTTCTCTTCCTTTATAAAGACTTTGATTTTAGAATTAGTCCACAAAACTTGAATATATTATTTTGTTCTTTCTGCTGCTACTCCCCTAGTAAACCAAAGAGCCAACGAAGTACACTTTATTTATACAATTTCTATTCCTACTTTGGTGTTGTTGTTGTTATGTTCCATAGAGTTGGTTCCGATTCATAGCAACCCTGTACAGGGTTTCCGAGGCTGCAAATCTTTATGGGAGCAGAAAGCCTCATCTTTCTCCTGTGGAACAGCTGGTAGTTTTGAACTGCTGACCATAAAATTAACAGCCTGATTCGTAACCACTATGCTACCAGAGCTCCTTATTCCCACTTTGGTACTTGGATAATTTAACATTTTTATTTTATTTATTTAACTTTTCAGTCTTGACATACAGTATGAATATAATTTTGTCACATGTTTTACCACTTCCCATTTTATAACTGAATACTGTTCTTACCCAATTTTCTAATTCTGTATTTTGACAGTGGTTTGGATAGGATTAAGAAATTGATTAATGTTAAAGACTTCTTTCCCAAGGCTTTAACATACAAAAGCACAAGTTTATCTATCATTTCAGAGATAAAGTCTCTTGGAAATTTATATTTAGATAGCATGAGAAGCACAAAGCTAAATTTGAATTTCAAGTGAGATAAGAAGCCATGATGGTTCTGTAAGATAATGCTAACTAACAAGGATGGCAGTTCAAATCCACCACTCACTCTTTGAGAGAAAGATACAACTGTCTGTTCCCATGAAGATTTACAGTCTCAGAAACCTAATATTTGGTTGCTGTGAGTTGACTTGATGGCTGTGGGTGTAGATTTCCTATGATTAATAAAGGAATTTAGTGTTCTTGTTCAATTTCCCTGTGTCCCACTTATCCCCCAAAATTAGGGGATTGGCTAATGTGGTGCCTGGATGCTCCTTACCTCCAACTATCAGAGATTCCATAATTCCATAATTTATTCTTGTTGTTGTTGTTAAGTGCTGTGCAGTCCTATATAGGACCCTGTAGAGGGTTTCCTGGAGTCCTGGTTTGGGATAAAGCCCTGAACCGCAAAGTCAGTTTGGACCACAAGGTCAGAGGTTCAAACTCACCATCCACTCCTTGGAGATCCTATACAGGGTTGTTTTGAGTCAGAACCGACTCAATGGCAGTTAACAACAACAATAGGGTTTCCAAGGCTTTAAATCTTTGTGGGAACAGAAAGCCTCGTCTGTCTTCAGTGGAGCAGTTGGTATGCTCAAACCTCTGACCATACCTGTGGTTTGCAGTACAGTTCTTATCCTAGAGAGCTTTAATTTGTTGCTATAATTTCATAAGAGTCCTGGTGTGGCACTGTGGGTTAATGTACTGAACTGCAAAGTTGGTTTGAAGTGCAAGGTCAGCAGTTCAAGCTTACCAGCTGCTCCTTGGAAACCCTACACAGGGTCGCTATGGGTCAGAACTGACTCAGTGGCACTTAAAAGCAATAACAACACCATTTTATAACTCACCACCACTGAAGTGGATGTTACAGCTCTCTATAAATGCTTGCAATATCATGCATTTAGCTTTAAGAAGTATCCTTAGATGAACACATAGTAAGCATTTTGATCAAAGAATAGTCATGTTATGGGAAGAGAGGGCATGTGCACAGGAGCGCCCACACTTGCAGATGATACCCACATGA